AAACCCTCCCCCCCCAAACCCAGGCCCCCCCAAAGCATCCTTTTTTTTTTTTTTTTTTTTTGGAAAGGGGATGGGATAACTGGGATTGAATCCAAGGCCTCATGCATGATAAGCAAGTACTCCACCACTAAGCTACGTCCCCAGACCTTTTTATATTTTGAGACAGGGTCTCACTAAGCCCCTTAAATTAGGATAAAACTTGCGATTTTCCTGTCCCACTCACCTGATACGGTTTGCCCCTAAACCCTAAGGCACTCATAGGTGAGATTAGTCCACTGATGGGTTTTATAGCTAAATGTGGTGTTGGAAGGTAGTGATTGATTGGACAAAGTGGGTCACTGAGGGCATGGCCTGGAAGGGTCTGTCCCCTTCCATCTTTGATCTTCGTTTACCTGCCTGCCATGCTGTGGACTGTTTCTCCTCTTCCATGCTGCTCTGGCCGGGAGCCAGCTGACTATGGACTGAAATCTCTACAAACTGTGAGCCAAAATAAACTTTTGTTCCTTAGAGTTGTAGGTGTTAGGAAGTGCGTTTCGGTGAGGAGAAAGTAACTGAAACAATGCCCAGCTCAAACAATCTACTTCTGCTGTCCACACATCCATTGATTTATCTACTCTTCAACCAGATAACATTTATCATTTTCCTCCAAGAATCTTCAATCTTTTTCACTGTGTTGCTAAAACAAAATACACAGACTGGGTACTTTATACCAACATGAGGTTTAAATTGGCCCACAGTTCCAAAGACTGGATAGGGTAACCCCATCTGGTGAGGAATCCCCTGGTTGTGCTGCTACATAGCAGAGAAGTATAAAGGGACCAGTCATGTACAAAAAGGGCATGTGCATCAAGGAAGCCACAGAACAGGGAGTGCTGGAGTCACTCTGACAACAAAGCCCTCTCATGGAGCCAGTGGACGCCCCCTGTAGGACCTAAGCCACCCCTCAAAACAGCATCGATCCATTTGTAACCTAATCATCACCTACCTCCATTCATACACTGAAGACCAAGCTTCCAACACAGAAAACACTGGACAGCAAGATAACCTCCAAACCCTAGCAGCCTTATGGGCTCACACTGGTTCACGGCCTACTCTTCAGGATAGCCTTCCTTGTACTTGTTTTTTAATCCTTCACTGGGCACATGAATTAAGGGTACAGTTGAGGGAGCAGATTTTAAGGAACGATGCACAAGCAACAAGGAGGAAC